GCCTACGTCACTAAAGCTAGGAGACTCCGGCCAAATTCCTGTGTCCAAAACTCCAACTACTATGTCGCTTTCAACTTGTTTTACACGAGGAACATTTGTAGTAAAACCCATAAAATCCCATGATCTTGTCGTATGAGGATGTTTCTTTTCGTTTGGAAACACAGAGACAACACCGTCCTTAGCTGAAATATGCCAAGTTATACATTCAGTTTGTGTGAAATCCCACATATGTTGGGAAGGAGAACAAAACATCATTTACAAGGTTATGAAAATCTCTCCCGGATAGATGTCTTTTAAAAACATTGAGAAAAAGTCTAAAGAGGACAATATTTGTAAGTGATGGGCTTGGGTTGTTACAAATGGTATCATACGGGGAGATGTACGAGCGAGGAGGCTGAGCCATAAAAGGAGTGGACACAAGGCGGTGTGCCCAGAAAAGATACTGGCCTCAAAGAACCTCTTCCTAGTAAACGCGTTTTAAAAACCTTGAGGAGAAACTTGAGTTGTTAAAAATATCTGTTAGCGGTGGGTTTGAGTTGTTAAAGTTTTGAAGGCTAAGAATTTAAAGACGTTGGAATAGTTATAGATACCAGAAATCTTTTGAGCTTCTTCTTCGGTGAGCCTAACCACGAATCCATTGAAACTTCTCTTGTAGCTATGGAGGAGAGCTTCGGGAGCGAACGTGCTAAGAACACGAAAATCACATAAATTAATGCATGAAACTTTCTTGTTGATAAGAACAAAAGAAAAAAAAAAAAATGAAGATGATGAACCTGCCAATCGTTTCTTCCAACATTCTCATATGATGTGAAGGAGTTGAAGCCGTATCCTCCCGCTTGTTTCCCAAGTACACAATATAAACCTGCAAGGTTTTATCCAACAAAATTTTTATACCAAACAATCCAAATATACATTTATAAGTAGAATGTTTTATACCTTTCGCCCATCGTTACCAGAATCGAAGCTAGAAGCGAGCAGACAACAAACGAGGTTTAGAATGACGAGCTTGAAGATCAAAGAAGAAGACGCATTATTTCCTGCCATGGTCATGACTGGAAACATAAATATGATCAGCTTAGGAAGGGCCTTTATATACAAAGCTTGAAGAAAGTCATATCTCCAACCACTGAACTTTCTGGGAAGCATTGATTACAAGAATGATGTGATTCAACATTAAAAAAAGACCAGGTTGTAGCAGCTGACCCTTTCAACCCTATTGCCTTCAAACAATCATATCTCCAAGAACTTCAACTTCATGAGCATATTGAAGTAGACAACTTGTTTTAATATGGTTTGATTTGGTCGAAATCAATGTCAGCTTAACCATTTGGCATGCCAATGTCTCCTTCTTACGGTCGCCTCGTTGATACCTTCATCATAAGGATTCGATATTCTCGTACGATTTAACTACAACATTATATTTTATCTCAAATTGTTTGTAAGAGCAAGGAGTCTCTTTAGACCCAAACTGGCTTCATCGACCCAAACACAATGCTTTACCTTCACTCGTAAATTTTATGAAAGAATATGACCAAAACCCGACCAAAACATATATGATGTCACATAAAACTCAACCAACTCCTAAAAAATTAATTCTTTCAAGGTATGTTATTATAATAATAATAATTTAAATGGTATGTCCATTTAATAATATTAAATAGGGTTGGAAGTTTACTCATCCTTCCGCGTTGAAGAATATTTCATTTAGGCCATCCCGTTTTTGAAATCTAAAAAAACAAATTTCAAGATTAAGAGACGCCTAATAAAATTAATATATATATATATATATATATATATATATATATATATATATATATATATATATATATATATATATATTTACACTAAAATTTAATGAAACTCAAATAACTAGTTAAATGATAACTTAATTTTAAATATTATTTAGTAGAATTAGGAAAATTTAACTAACTAAATATTATTTAAAAGAGTTGACCTTATAATATTATAATTTTGGTAAATTAATTTAAAATAGGTATACATACTATGAAATTTAGTAAATTAATTTTATAAAAAGTCATTTAATTCTGTTACAGAAAAGTTATGACTAAATAATCCAATCAACAAGCTTAAAGTGACATGTATATATAAAACTATATATTATATTACTAGTAAAAGATAATAGTTAAAGTCAATATTATTTAATATGAATATTTTATTTGAATGCGTATGACATTATATTTGTATAAATTTAATTGATTATTGTTCGAGTTTGGTTTACTTTTAGCTCCTAATCTTTAAATTTATTTTAATTTTATCTCATTACTATTTTAAAATTTATGATAAGATCTTTATATTCGTTTTGATGCTATAATTTTCAAAGTTGATTTTTGGTCAAATTATAATTAAATTTAATTCTTATATTTTACGTGAAATAAGTTTATAAATTTATTCGATATAAATTTGATATTAAAAATTTATGTTCTATCAAACATAAAATTTAATTGGTGTGTGATAAAATTTAAAGTTATAAAAGATGTTAAATTGTTTTAGAGTTTATTAATACAATTTTAGTGTACACCGTGCTTCCAAGAGTATTCGAACCGGATAGTGCAACAATAGTATTTTAAGCACATTGCAACTCGATGACACAATAAAATGCTCGTATAGTATTAAAATTAAGAATTATAAGGTTCGTGATGAAATGATGAAATTTTAGAATTTGTTTTGACTAGAGATGTACACGAGGCGGGGTAGGGAAGAGGAAGCCTTATTTGTCCTCGTTCGCGCTACCTATTTCATACTTCATCCCCATGAAATTTTCTCTATTTATTTTAGGTAGGAGTTGGATTATTCCCAAATTTTACTCGGTCTATTATTTTTTTTAAAAAAATAGTTATTTTAAAGTCTTTATTTTTTTAAAAGCCTAATATTTATTAAAATAATTTTAAAAAATCATATTAAATCAAAATATTACACAAACAAATATATACCAGACATGGTTATACCAACATAATTAGAACAACACAGTCGTAAATAATAATAATAAAAAGGTACGCATAATCTTTAATTTAAATATTATAATAATTAATTAATTAATTTTTTTTTTTATATATATATTTTTGTCTCCACTTATATTCTTACTCCCGACTCCATTCCCGGAAAGGGAGAGCCCCGTTAGGGCGGGTCACGTCCTCGCAGCTGGCATCTCTAGTTTTGATGCTAACGGACAACGTATGGCGCGTTTCTGTCTTCCCGGGGCATTCAATTTAACGCAGGGTTTTAGCAAAGCAATGAGACTCGATACCTAGAACAGGACAAATCCCTTGGTTCCAAGTTCTGATCTCTACTTTTGAGGATGTCTATCGGATTTGAGATTTTTGGTAACGGAGGAGAGGGTTGAAGAGGGATTGGTTCATTTTGCCATGCAAACGGAGGCTAGGGTTGGCGTGATGATGGAAGGAAGGCAGAGAGCTCTCAGTTCTGGTCATGGTGTAGTGGTTTCTGTCGCTCCGAAAAACCATCATCGCTTCAGCAATCGCCGATTCGGACGGTGTCACAGCTTCAATCTAATGGCGTTGCTGGTGCTTTTAGTAAGACCTGCACGGCGCCACTCGCCCGCCTCACGATTCTCTTTCAGGTTTCGTTATTCGAAATAAAACAAAAATGAGAAGTACATTCTCGAGAAGAGAGGAGCCGAGGTGGTCTCCGGACCGCTGAACTAATTTCGATCATTCTTTTAGCTGCTTTGATGGAGACGGAGGAATAAACGATTCTTTTTTTTTAAATTAACAAACACGTCCTCAACTGTGCCTGTGTCCTGATTTCTTAAAAACTGGTATATTGGCCTGTCAATTTAGTGTTATGTTATTGTCTCTGTTGTCATTTTGGGTTGCTGTCATTCTGTCTAGGCTATAATGAGTTTGTACGGCTTGTGCTTTTTATTCTTCATTGATGGGTGTATAATTGCCTTGTTAATTATTACCATATCAGGTGCAAGGGATGCACTCTTGGCACGAGGCTTCACGAATTGCTCTTGAAGAAGGAATAAGAGCTTTCTGTTACAATTGCTCATCGTCTGCCTTATTCTTCTATCAATTTCTATGCATATGAGCACTACAGAAAGGTTGGTGTTATCCATCTTATAAATAAATACCATCATAGAGATTCATATGTAGAGTTATTATCCGTTTGATTTTCTTTTTCAGTTGCCTTGAGCTTAACTAATTGTTTATATGTTATGTAGTTACTACACATGATCCCAGGTTTTGAACGTCATAGGGATCACATGAGTGCAAACCTGTTAGTTCACTTCCTGGGTGGTGGCTTGGCAGGTATTACGGCAGCATCAACTACATATCCACTAGACCTTGTAAGGACTCGCCTTGCTGCTCAGGTGAGACCATATGATTTGCAACTTCTTGTAAACAACTATTTGTTACAATTAATTTTGTATGATGGTTAACCTTGAGCAGTAGTTTTGATTTGTCATTAGACTGATCTTAAATTCCATGAGCTTGGCAGTGTGTGATCTTCCCATTTTCACTTGTTAGCCACCAGACAGGCTCATTGGCGATGGCGTCTGTGGTCTTATACATTCATATCTGATTTTGCTTGATTTGTTTATCTTTTATTTAAGCCATCTTTTGAATGGATCAGCATAATTTTAGATCATATGTTAGCATTGGCACTTGTGTGCTTTGCAGACGAAAGTGATCTATTACAAAGGTATTTGGCATACTTTGCGAACAATTTGTAGAGATGAGGGTTTTCTATATCTTTACAAGGGACTTGGAGCACCAGTACTGGTATGCGTTTCTGAGTTGTTATATTAGGAATACAAGCACTGTTTTGAAAATATAGCTCAACAAATTCTGTCTTCGATGCAGGGTGTCGGTCCCAACATCACTATCAGCTTTTCAGTGTATGAAAGCTTGAGGTCCTTCTGGCAGTCTCGGAGGTAAGAATGTTCAAATTCATTCATCAATTCCATATTATCACCTTAATCTTTTATTATTATTCTTCTTATTATTATTTTTTTAATGTCAACTTATAAGAATGTTGCATAAAATTGGTTTTAGTAGCAGTCTTCCCGAGCATTGTGGTGGGTTATAGTGGAGTTTGACACTAATAATCATATACATATACTAGAATATCATTTTCAGGTGTTAGAGGTGCCCCATCTGAGGTATGCTTCTCACTTGGGCTCTCTTTTACTTTTGTTGGATTTGTCAATCCTTGAAGCCTCAGTAGTACATCTTTGTCTCTTTGAGGACTTCGTCATGTCTATTAATATGTGTATTAGAATATACTGGTTCTTGTGGAAACTTAGTGATGATGCAAAGAACTAGCAAGGCATGATTGCATTTTGCTCTTCTAATTTGAAACTGACGTGGTTGATTCTTGTTTAGTGCTCTGTGCATAAGTCGGTTTGTTTTTGAAGCATAAGATTTAAAATTAAGCATATCAAAATAGTAAACTATTTAGCTACAGAGGTTATAATAGTATACAACCTGTTCAATATTTTAAAAAAAAACTCGAAGATTGATGGATTAGAAACTTGGAACCGTAGCTCCTCCATCATTTTTTATTAGCTTGCTGCTTTATTTTGATGAAAGCTTAGGAATTTCTAAGTACCTGGCTTTCATGTTAACCCCCCCAGATGCTTCTAGCAGCTTCTTCTCTGTTGTGTGATATTTGCTGAAATGTAGTCCTGTTAGCAGCCTACCCCTACGGATGTCTAATCTTTCTCTGTGAGGTGAAATTGAAGGCCGTCTCTATCTGCTTTACTGGACAGCTTGGTTTATATTATGTTGCCCCTTTAGTTTGCCGTGACCTTCCCTCTGGATCTAGTGAGTAGGCGGAAGCAGTTGGAAGGAGCCTGTGGCCGAGCACGGGTGTATACAACAGGCCTTATTGGTGTTTTCAGGCACATATTGAGGACAGAAGGCTTCCGTAGTTTCTATCGGGGTATTTTGCCCAAGTATTGCAAGGTTGTGCCTGGGGTGGGCATTTGCTTCATGACATATGAAACACTTAAGAGCCTTTTAGCAGATACAAATGGCTGAAATGACTTGTGGATGGAAATGGGATTTCGTGGCAAATAACAAAGCGAATTTGTTGGTGGGAATCCTCATAATTTTGTACTTGAGATTGATAGGAACACTGTGATTAGGACTAAATTGACCTCTAGACAGTCAAAAGTAATAGCATTATATGAGTTAAAAACCTTTTTAAGAATTAAGATAATATGAGTATAAAAGCATGATTAAAATAAAATTTAAAACTTTTAGCCAAGAATGGGGTTGAAAAAGAGGCAACAAAAAAGAAAAATAAAAGAATGAAAAAGTAAACAGAAGAAAAGCAAAGAGGGGAAACTTGTAATGCCAAGTTAGAAGAAGAAATACATGTTATTAGAAAAGAGACTGCTTTTGAACCAGATCTATCTAAAACTCTATATTGATCTCTATCTGGTAATAGAAATCATGTCTTCCCACATCAAACCATCCAGACAGCATGTTTTTATTATATAGGGAAACTTCCAGTCATGTGAATATGGTCGAGTGTCCGACGCAACCCATATTTATTCACTGCAACATTAGCAGCTCTGAAACCATCCCCATAAATTTTTGAAGGACTGTTTACTATTTGGTACATGAAAAACTCGCCCAGTTTCTTTTCGGTAGAAGAATTACCACCTTTCTTTGATGATGAAGAGTAGTGAGACGAGGAAGAAGAAGAAGAAGATGAGGACGCAGTTGATGACGAAGGTCTTGATCTAAGCCCCGACATTACTTCAGATTCGAGCCACATGTAGGAAAGCACTTCACAGATACCTTCTTCCACCTCCCGTTTAATGTTGCGATATCCTAACATAATTTCCAGTTTTATCAGTATTCAAGGTAAGCAATGGATTAAGATTCATATAAATAGAAAGGGAAGAAGATGGAGCTTCACCCTTTAGCCGTAACCAGCTATGCATCAACTCGTGTGCCAGAATAGATCCTGTTAGTAATCTGTAAAAGCAAGAGCATAAAAATGGTGGATGGCAAAAATAAATGTATGCTGGACTATTGACAAAGTTAATTTTATCTCCCACTTGAGATATAATCATACAAATTTTAAAATCATGGATGAATGTTTCAGAGTACGAAAAATAGAATGGTTACCTTGGGAAACCAAAAAGAACAAGAATGGCTATAACTTCAGAATTACGGATCAGCTTCTGCCGTTGAGTTCTCATTCCTACAAGTCTATGCCCTTCAATTTTTGGCCTCTTGACGATCTGAACATGATTAAGAACAAGTACTCTAAAATTTTGAATAAAAAATAAGAATATTTTAACTCCACAAAAACATACACTTGTGATACGTTGTACTTCAGAAAGGCATACACCTCTATTTTCAGGCAAGCGACGGTTGCCCTGTAAAGAATAAGTATTGTTTAGAGGAATTGATTTGTAGTTAAGAGGAATTGGTTTCTAGTTTTTTTTAGGAAGAAGAAAGGGAAAGTTTATTACATGTTTCTCCTCAACAATAGCTTCATTTAGAACTTGTCTTTCAACTAGAAACATGGGAATTTGCTGATCTATTCTCATGTTCATTCCCTCGTAATAGTCTCGAATGGAGTGGTAGAGCAGTTGGCAGTCTCCGGTGTCCATGACAGCAGACTCCAGACATTCTAGGCATAGGCTCCGCCCGTCCCCCAAGGAGATATATCTTGCATTCCAAGACTAAAAATTATATGGAATTGTAGTCAGCACTAGAGGGAGAAACCTCAACCTCGTCCAAACTCGATATGGAGGTAAAAAATTAATGACTTGGGAATTGATCTCAAGTATTTTAATTGATACCTCCAAACGTCTGCAACTACAACAATAGGCTGTCTTGTCAAGTTCATGTGATAGACAATACTTCTGAGACCAAAAGCGACTACATCTGTGTACAGCCAAACCAGCTCGATTTGTAGGGATCTGAAAATTGAGGACTGAATAATCAAGACGATCTATTTGATCAAAGATAAATGATGGATCTAAGTTCTTTCAAACTAGCTAATGCAAGATACCAATATTGTTGTTTCTCACAATCTACCAGTAACATGATACACAGAAAGTAATGAGCCATGAAGACAACAATGAAAGTCTTACAAATTGGTGGCAGACTTCACACTTAGGATGGGTCAGCTCTTTGAAATAAGACCGGTGATATGGATAATTCCCAGACATTGAAATCTTGAATCAACAGAGAAAAAAGGAACTGGTGAGAAACTACATACAGATGCTCGACATTGTTCTTAAGCGATAAATTAGTGCATGCAGCCTTGAACTTGAATGAGAAGGAAAAAGAAAACTGAATGGGAAGCATAATTAGGAGAAGAAAAGCATTGCTAGGATCTTGTGACCGAAGGAAAGATAGAATATTAGAATACCTCGTGCTCGGTAAGTGGAAAGCTGCAGGAACGACAACAAATGCACCCAGGATGGAAGTAGGTGCCCATGTATCCCAAATAATTTCCATAGTCGATTGCAGCAACGACAATATTTGAGACATGAAGGCATGATTATGCATATATCAGTTAAACGATTAGGAGACCATTATATGAACTATAATCTCGGATTCCTATGTTTCAAATAGGAATTTTTTGTCTAGTTAAGCTAAAGTCATGTACAAGTGATTGGATTCAAAAGATAATTGAATAAGATTCGTTTGCTAATATGATACAGTCATACAGATGAATAAGATGACATTATTACCTATAGTCACCAGGAAGAAACTGAGGAGGGGCAACATAAGGATAAGGCGATAAAGTCATCTTGCCCTGCAGTTCTCTAGAAATTGCTTCATCATTTTCTGTATGCCAACAATATCCAGACGAACAAAAAGAAGAATGAATCAGATGATTCTGTTAGAGAGAAGAGTTAAAGAGCGAAACATTTAAAATCCAAGTCTAGTTAGCAAATCATACGGTTTTGCCTTTTGAAATCTTCATCTAAGGAGAGTGCAATTGCATGGTCTAGTTCTTCTTTCTCCTTCTTAGCTCTAGAAGAATCGTCCTGTTCAAATAACAACTCGATAAAGAACCATTATCATTCAAAGTAAGTTCTTCCCCAACATTATTTAAGTGAAACATAATTCCTTATTCGTCCTGTTTTACTCTATGATGGGCTTGCTTAAACACAACCCCTTGCCTACTTACCGCACAATCACCCAAGGAATCACGGTTCAAAGATTGTTCAAGTACTAAACCTGTTAAAAAAAATGAATGAACATACCACTGATTGAATAATAATCAAGTTGGTTTCTGTTCAAGTCAGTAAAGACCAACTAAGCGATTGTTGGACCAATATACTTCTGTGACTATGATCGCCATCAGAAACTTTAGTTCGTTCCAAAAGGAAAAAGAAAAAAGGTTTTCAGCTTCCAGTAAGCTATGTGGATAAAGAGCAAACAAATTATTATCCCAAAATCACCAAAAAGTGAAAAAGTCAACCAACATCAGCCAGTTACATCATATGCTTTGTCCAGTAATATATCAAACCTCGTCACAAAGTTGAAAATCTCAATGATAAGCTAATCAAAGAAGATCAAATTCAATAGAAGGTGGGGGAAGGAAAAACAGAAGTTTACCGTTGATCTCGCCGGAGCTCGCCAGACTATGTTCTCCTGATCACCAAGAAGCTGCTGTGGAGGGCTGCCGCCACTGCCACTGCCGCCGCCTCCCCTGTTGGGTCCTGGCCGGACAATTTTGCTCAACCATTTCATCCACCCAGATTTTTTCTTTGCATATGAGGAAGAAAAAGAAATCGACGAGGAAAAATCCCAACAGACCCAAGATCCCAAATACTGTAGTTCCTTAATCCCTCAATTCAAAAATCAAAATGAAGGGTCAGGGAGATTACTCCAGTGGGTTCATAAACAAAAACGATGGAAGTGTCTAGAAATGAAGAATTAGAAATACCGGAAATGCAAGGATGAGATAGATCCATGGAACTCGATAAAGGGTTTTTGATTGTATATCAATTGGCGGAACACGATCCAACAGAAGAGGGGTTGAGAAACCTAAAAGGACCCAGAGAGAGAGAAAGGGAAATAAGGGGTTGGAAGAAAAGGGATTGAAGAACAATGAATTAGGCATCGCTAAAAGCAGCACGGAGAGAGAAGAGGAAGAGGAGAATCTCTAAGAGAGAAAGGAAGTGATGGGAAATTCTCGGCCTGGGAAAGCAATGAAGAGGAAAAAAAACTGGAGGGGAATCTGCAAAGGCGAAGATCGATAAAAAGCAACGGTGGAAGAAGAAGGGCTCATCAAATGGGCATAGAAGAAGGCATCTTTTAGGAAGTGTGAGCGCCCAAGTTCGTTTTACAGAGAGAGAGAGAGAGATTGAGATTGAAAACGGGATTGAACACGCTTTGGATTGGAACTCGAAGGAGTTTTTCCCTTTCCCTCTTACAGCTTAAATCGATTTTGCTTTGCGTTTTATACAGCGCGCGAAAAAAGAAAATCTTTGCGCGGTGAGAACAGAGAAGTGGTTGATATACTCTTAGGATATTCTTCCAATTTCTTCTTTTGCATTGCCCGTCTTTCTTCTTCTTCAACAAACAGAGATTTATTTTTTTATGAGACTTATAATCCAAGCAAGGGCAAAGAAAGACGTTGCCAAAGGTGTTTTTGCAAATTAAACCCTTTAACATGCTCTAACCTTATACGGTTGACCTCATAGGTTGAATTGGACTTTGACTAGGGTATTCAAGCTAGTACCAGAAATAATTAGTACATCATCCCAAGTCAACCAAGTAAGCAGTTCTACTGTTGGACGTCCACGAACTTGGTTGAATAACTTGTATGTTGTATGAATGACATGTATCTTGTGGCTCCATGTACGAGACATATTTTAAGATGTTATGATGTTTGATATGTGATATGTCGATTTATGCTATGATATGAATTATGCTATGTTATTAAACTATTTTGTGATATCAATTTTATATGATGCATAAAACATCAACATGTCATACCACATATATTAGGTTAGTACGTTTACTTTATGCTTATAAGATATTGATAAGGCATGTTAAATATGAAAGACAAGTTTAGTATATGCATATATGTCTTGTAAGACTTTGGCCTAGAATACAGGCAAGGTCAAGCAAATTGACTTGGCCTAGAGTAGAATCGAGTTAGATAGAGCCGCAGACGATTGAACATGCATACACAGGTAATGTGTGTGGCCGAACAAACTTAGATTCCACATTAGTTATGTTTGGTTGACGATAGGGAACCTCGCCTAAGGTCACATGAAGCTACAAAGTCGGGCACAAAAAAAAAAAAAAAACATGCACACACAAGTAATGTGTATAACCGAACAAACTTAGATTTCAAATTGGTTATGTTCGGTTGACGATAGAGAACCTCGCCTAAGGTCCGATGGAGCCACAAAGTCAAGCAAAAAATACAAATAGGGCTCCCTTAAGACTTATCATAAGCATGTTTTTTATTTGAAACAAATTGGGCGAACGTTAAATCTATAAGATCGTTTATATGTGAATATTTATAAATAGATTTCTGCACATGAGGCATGTGATATAGATCGTAGCTACTTTATTTTTATTCAAATATGTTCGCTTTCGGTTTGGCCTTTTAAAATTGATTAGTATGCTTGGGAGTTGGATAATTTAACCTTTTTTCCACAACCGCAAAACCCCACTTTTTAGGTTCTACAGAATATATACATAGAACGAAGCAAAAGCCATATCTATGAAATTTGATTCTTTGCTTTTGGATTTGATTTGATTTGTATAGGATTTAATCATGGTGGTGAAAAGATCATCTCGGCTTTATTGAGAGGTTCCTCTCTGTTCATTACTTTCTTCTGCAAATTGCAAACTGCAGACACACGTCTTCTTTTTTCTTTTTCTTATTCTTCTTCTAAAGACACTCTTTTGTTGACTTGAAAACTGCCTTTGAAGATTCCTACGCTCATCCAACAAATATTTTCAACCAAACATTTTTATTGGCTTTTTTACTTTTTCCCACGTCCATGAGTGAAGTAAAACTAGTTGATCATTTTGTTTTTGTAGTTTGCAACCCTTTTTCTTATTTCTTTTATTTTCCCAAAGATCTGAAACCATGAAAAAGTGACTGCTTTTGAACCAGATGCTGTCTAAAACTCTCTATATTGAGCTCAATCTGGTAACATAAACAATGTCTCCCAACATCAAACTATCCAAAAGACTTGTTTTTATTACACAGGAAAACTTCCAGTCATGTGAATATGGTCGAGCGTTCGACGTAACCCATATTTATTCACTGCAGCATTAGCAGTTCTGAAACCATCCCCATAAGATGTTGAGGCATCATTCGCTATTTGGTGCATGAAAAAATCACCTAGTTTCTTTTCAGCAAAAGATCTACCCCCTTTCTTTGATGATGAAGATGAAGAAGATGAGGACGCAGCTGATGTTGAAGGTCCTGATCTAAACCCTGGCATTACTTCGGATTCGAGCCACATGTATGAAAGCACTTGACAGATACCTTCTTCTACCTCCGGGTTAAGGTTGCGATATCCTAACATAGTTCCAGTTTTATCAGCACTCAAGGCAAGCAATGGATTAAGATTCATTTAAAGAGAAAGGGAAAAAAAATTGAGCTTCACCCTTTAGCCGTAACCAGCCATGCATTAGCTCGTGTGCTAGAATAGATCCTGTTAGTAATCTGTAAAAGCTAAGAGCATAAAAATGGTGGATAGCGAAAATAAATGTGTGCTCTACTATTGACAACGTTCCACTCGCCTATAGATCTTAGAAAGCTCAAAGATCTTGACCTTTAAAACCAATTCTAAGTATTCCCAATATAAGTTCATCTTATCTCCCATTTGAAATATAATCATACAAACTTCAAAATCATCGATGAGTGCTTCAGAGTATGAATATTAGAATGGTTACCTTGGGAGACCATAAAGAACAAGTATGGCAGTAACATCGCATCTACGGATCAACTTCTGTGGTTGAGTTCTCATTCCTACGAGTCGATGCCCTCCAATTTTTGGCCTCTTGAGGATCTGCACATGATAAACAAGGACAAGTTCAATGCCCATAGAAACCCCGATCACTACTAAAAAAAATTTAATAAAAAAACAAGAGTATTTCAACTCTACGAAAACATACACTGGTGACAGTCTGCTCTTCCGAAAGGCATAAACCTCTGGTCTCGGGCATGTGATGAAAGCCCTGTAAAGAATAAGTACTGATTAGAGGAAATGCTTGATAGTAAAATAAAGAATGAAAAAGAAGAAGAGGAGGAGGAAAAGGAAAGGTAGTTTATTACATGTTTCTCCCCCACGATAGCTTCATTTAGAGCTTGTCTTTCAACTAGAAGCATGGGAATTTGCTGATCTATTCTCATGTTCATTCCCTCATAATAGTCTCGGATCGAGTGGTAGAGCGGCTGGCAGTCTCCGGTGTCCATGATAGCAGACTCCATGCATTCTAGGCATAGGCTCCGTCCGTCTCCCAAAGAGATATATCTTGCATTCCAAGACTAAAAATTATATGGAATTGTAGTCAGCACTAGAGGGAGAAACCTCAACTTCAACCTCATCCTCATCCAAGCTCTGTATGGAGGTAAAAAATTAATGATGTGGGAATTGATCTCAATTATTTAAATTGATACCTCCAAACGTTCGCAACTACAACAACGAGCTGTGTTGTCATGTTCATGTGATGGGCAATACTTTTGAGACCAAAAGGGATGACATCTGTACTCGATCAAACCAGCTCGATTTGTAGGGATCTAAAAGTTGAGAATGGAAGAATCAGGAAGATCTATTCGATCAAAGATAAATGTTGGATCCAAGTTCTTTCAAACTAGTTAATGCAAGATACCAATGTTGTTGTTTCTCACAATCTACCAGTAGTAATGAAATTCTTACAAATTGGTGGCAGACTTCACACCTAGGATGGGTCAGCTCTTTGAAACAAGACTTGTGATATGGATGTTTCCCAGACAATGAAAACTTGAATCAACAGAGAAAAAGGGAACTAGTGAGAAACTATATAATACAAATGTTCGACATTGTTATCAAGCGGTAAATTTGTGCATGTTAGGAGAAGAAAATCACAGGTAGGATCTTGTGGCCAAGGGAAAGATAGAATGTTAGAATACCTCGTGCTCGGTAATAGGACAACCGCAAGAACGGCAACAAAAACACCCGGGATGGAAGTAGGTGCCCATGCATCCCAAATAATTTCCATAGCCGATGGCACGATTGCAGCCACTGCAATATCTGCGACATTAAGACATGATTATGTATATATCAGTAGGAGACCATTATATGAACTAATCCCAAATCCTATGTTTCAAATAGGAATTGGTTGAGTAGTTAAGCTGAAGTCATATACAAGTGAGTGAATTGAAAAAGATTCATTTGGTATACCTATAGTCGCCAGGATGGAATTGAGGAGGGGCAACAGAAGGATAAGGAGATAAATTCATCTTGTCCTGCAGTTCTCTAGAAATAGCTTCATCATTTTCTGTACGCCGACGATACCCTGACGAACAAAAAGAAGAACGAATCAATCCTAATGATTCTGTTCGGTAAAAGAGAAAAATGTTTCAAGTCCGATTTCAGTTAATGAATCCTACGGTTTCGCCTTTTCAAATCTTCAGCTAAGGAGAGTGCAATTGTGTGGTCTAGTTCTTCTTTCTCCTTATGAGCTCTAGAAGGATCGTCCTGTTCAATAACAACTCAATAAAGAATCGTCATTCAACCGAGCAAGTAAATCCTTCCCCAACATGAAACATGGAACAGAATTCCTTATTCGTCCTGTTTTACACTATGATGGGCTTGCTTAAACATGCTGCCTTGCCTACTTACAACACAAGCACACAAGGAAATCATGGTTCAAAGATTGTTCCAAGTACTAAACCTGAATGAATATGCAACTGATTGATTAATAATCAAGTTGGTCTCTGTTCAAAGACAACTTTAGTTCTTTCCAAAGGAAAAAAGAAAAGGTTTTGAAGTACTTCCAATAAGCTACATAATCCCAAAATCACTCAAAAAGTGAAAAAGTCAACCAACATCAGCCAGTTACATCATATGCTTTGTCCAGTAATGTACCAAACCTCATTCCAAAAGTTGAATATCTCAATCATAAGCCAATCAAGGAAGATCAAATTCAAGAGAGACTGGGGGGAAGGAAAAACAGAAGTTCACCGTTGATCTCGCCGGAGCTCGCCGGAATATGTTTTCCTGATCCCCAATAAGCTGCTGTGGAAGGCGGCCGCCACTGCTACTGCTACTGCCACTGCCACTGCCGCCGCCTCCCCTGTTGGGTCCTGACCGGAAAATTCTGCTCAACCATTTCATCCACCCAGATTTTTTCTCTGCATATGAGGAAGAAGAAGAAAAAGAAATCGATGAGGAAAAATCCCAACAGGCCCAAAACCCCAAATGCTGCAGTTCCTTAAACCCTCAAATCAAAAATCAAAAATAAAAAAGATGGGTAAGGGAGAATACTCCAGTGAGTTCATAAACAAAAACGATGAAAGTGTCTAGAAATGAAGCATTAGAAATACCGGAAATGCAAGGGTGAGATAGATTGTTGACAGCAGGAGCCATGGAACCCGATAAAGGGTTTTTGATTGTGGATCAATCGGCGGAATAGGATCCGGCCGAAAAGGGGTTGAGAAATCGAAAAGGACGCAGAGAGAGAGAGAGAGAAAGGGAAATAAGGGGTTGGAAGAAAAGGGATTGAAGAACGAGGAATTAGGCATGGTTTAAAGCAGCGCGAAGAGAGAAGGGGAAAGAGGAGAATCTGTAGGAGAGAAAGGAAGTGATGAGAGATTCTTGGCTTGGGAAAGCAATGAAGAGAAAAGTAGGAGGAAGAGGAATCTGGTGAGGGGAAGATAATTAAAGCAACGGTGGAAGAAGGGCTGAGAATCATGAAATGGGCATAAAGGAAAAGCCATCTTTTAGAGAGAGTGATCGCCCAGGTTTTGTACAGAGAGATAGAGATTGATATTGAAGATGGGTTTGAACACGCTTTTGCTTTGCTTTTTATTCAGAGAACAAAACAGGAAAATCTTTGCGCCATGGGAACAGAGAAGTGGTTGACATACTCTCAGAGCATATTCTTCCAATTTCTTCTTCTTCTTCTTCTTCATGGTTCCCTTTTTTCATCAGACTTGTAATCCAACCCAGGACAAAGAAAGACGTCGCCATCATTGCCTAAATCTATTCCTTTCAAACTTTTCCCGCTACAATTCTTTCATTTTTGACCCAACTCTCTTTCTTACAATGTGTGGGTGGAATTTCTCACCTTATATTATCATTATGAGTCGGTGTCTTTGTATTAGTTGACTATAGTCATTAGAGATATCCCATTGGGACGTAAAATCTCTATTTAAACAAGACTCAAGGTAGGGGATTGGAGACTACGGTTTACATTACTCAACCCCAACTCAATCCCCTTGTGAGTATTGCTGACAAGAGTCCAACGTTAGCTAATTAAAGGAAATATCATAAGTTTATAAGTAAAAAATACATCTCTATTGACACGAAGCGTCTTGAGATAACTATTATTATAGAGATCTATAATATAGCAAAAAAATTTTCAAAAATCTTAAAGAGGTTTGTCTTTCACTTTAAAAGCACAATATCCAAAAAAATAATAATAATAATAATAATAAATCTTTTTTTTTCCTTCTCTTTTGCATCCCCATCTGTCACATTCAAACAAAATTGCCTTTTTTTTTTTCTCTCAAAATTCTCAAAAAGAAAAAAAATAAAGAAACTTTGATTAAACAAACTAATGGGTTTGTGTAATTAAATCGGGTGGACAACCAAAAAAGCTGATAAATTCCCACAAAAAAAAAAAAAAAAAAAAAAAAAAAAAAAAAAAAAAAAAAAAAAAAAAAAAAAAAAAAAAAAAAAAAAAAAAAAAAAAAAAA